ATTAAAAGCTGAAGAGTGGTCAGTGGTTAAGAGTATGACAAGGACAATGACTTAAACAAAAATGAAAGACTCAGTTGAATAGGAGAGATGGAGTCCATGAGATCACCTACAGGTGTTAAAAGCCAAGACAAGTAGATAGGTTTAACGAAACAAGAAAAAGAAAACTAAGCTAGGGAGAGGTAAGACGGAAGCCCACTAAAGGCTCATCAGATGGTGGTCTTCAGGGTGGACCAGGGGAAAAAGAGGGCCAGGAAGATGATAATTGAGTGAGAAGAAGGAGAGGGCTCAGCTATCAGGAATATCACCAGTTCCAGTAATCAAAGCAGGAACGTAAAAGTCTGCTTTAACTAGTGGTGATGGAAATGCTAGGGCTGAAGCCAACATGACTTTGTAGAAAAAGAAGAACGGGGGCATTCTGACTGTCACTACGAGCTGAAAATAGTCTCTACAAAATTTGTCTTTACTTTTTTAAACATTTTTTTTTTTTGCAGTGAGGATTATAAAAGCTTGATGCACGAAGCGAGTACATTCCGAAAGAGAATGGATGTGGCTCCAAAGTTTTCTTGCCTTTAAACATTCTTCTCCATAATATGTCATCCCTGAATCCTGATCTGTTCATAACAATTTCTTTTTGAAAACCTTTCAATAATTCACAATCACCCAGGCATAATAAAATTAAATTGACTTGGCACACTATCTAAGTTCTCTATGAACTCACACAAAACCCAGTTCCTGGTCTTACTGCGCACTCTGTTTCATCACAGCTGTCTCCAAACTAAGGTAGGCTCTTGGGAATGGAACAAGTTTTAAGAGATATGTAAATGGAGAGAGAGTTTCAAGAAAATCTGTCCTGTTTACATCTGTATCTCTACTGCTTGGTACATGGGGAGCATTTAATAATTATACATTGAATGAATAAGTGAATGAATGAATGAATCATAAGCGTCCATAAATACTCTCCTAATACAGATCTTCCTAAGAATATCCCTGTGGTCTCAAAATTCCCCATTCTCAAGTTTCCTTTTAATGATTTTTATCGCACTTTCCAAAAAAAAAAAAAAAAGGCATGCTTCTCACACATTCCAATTATTACAAGGGTGCCTCTCCATATGAAGGAAAATCCTCTTAGAGAAAAATAAACAGAAAATTTGAAATACTGTGTTGGTCTGAAGTGAATGACCATAAGAACTTGGAAATCAATTCTTTTGCAACTCAGTTTCTAATTCATGCTTTCAACAAAATTAGAGAAGAATTTACTAAATTTATTAATAATGATTAAGAAGAATTTCTGAAGATAAATCACTTTTTTTTTGGCTTACAGCTTGGCTCCCACATTTTTAAAACAGAATAAAATTGTTGCTGAATTCTTGTCTAATTCAAACAATCAAGTAAAATTCACCCACCAATTTATTACCTATATTAAAAAAATCAATTTCGTTAGATAATGTATTTCAGTACGTTTTATTTTTTGTGTTTAATAAGCATAGTTCAAAATTTACAAAATATTTATCCTGCTTGATAAAGCTTGTAATGATAAGTTAATCCAGGAGAACGCTTTAAACATTTAAAGTATAATAAAAATTTAAAACTAATGCTTATTTTTATTGCTAATAATTATGAAGGGGACCAATAAAAGACTTCCAAGTATAGGTCCAGCCGTCCCTGCCCCAGTGCCCACAATTGTCATGCTTGTTACCCCCTTTGCCTTTGTCCTGGACCTCTGTTTCCATCTATGTTCCAGAGAATGTGTGCGTGCAGCGGGGTGGGAGGAGGAGCAGAGGGAGGGCTGGAGAGGAAGAGTAGATGTCAAAAGGAGGAGGGAAAGAGGGAGCGAGGGACGGAGAAGGGGAAAGAAAGGGAGAGCGGAGATGAAAGAGACCCAGAGAGATAAAGCTTGAGACCAGAAATAGTAAAAGGGAGAGGGGAACGAGAGAGAGGGAGCAAGAAAGAGGGAGGGAGAGCGGGGGAGAGAGCGAGAGAGAGCTAGGAACTGGACTGGGAGGAAAGATAGATTAAAAAAAAACAAAACAAAAAACTTTCAAGTATTAAAACACATTACATCAGAATATAATTTTGTGGGGAAAATGCAGTATGTTAAAAAAAAGTTATAAAATACACTATTGTTAAAGAAGTGCCTATTCATGCGTTTTTTAAAATTATTGATGATGAATGTCAAATGTCTGATATTTAGATTCTAAAGCATATATTTAAGGGAGTGATATAATAGCTTTATTTTCAAAGAGCAAGATTTTCAATACACTACAAAATTAAAGCTCTTTAAACTTTTGACAAAATTGTTCTGTCAACTTAAAAATATACAAGCAGGTACAAAGTTTTTTAGAATTGTTTTGGAGAACAAATGATGAAAAATATTTGAAGAGCGCTCTTCTCAAATGATCTTAAGTTTTCTACTCATTTTTCATAGAATATTTATTTTGCTGCAGCTGCCCTGCAGCCTAATGGTCCTTTCCACCATTTCTTTGGTTATCAAATTCAAGATTTCATCAATGCTATATTTCTCTTTGAAGCTCTCCCTGATTCCAACTTCTGGCTTCAGTCATAAGCCATGACATCTTTCATTATGCTTCCACAGCTATTCTGACTTGTGGCTACTTGTATCTGACTGCCCAAATAGATGATAAACATCTTACAGGGTTTCATTCATTTTTATATGGCCCAGAGGCCCAGCAAATTGCTTTGTATAAAGGAAGTGCTTCACTTAATATTTTCATTAACTGAAGGAAAGGGGTGCCTTGCCTAAGAAAATGCAAGAATGATAGCAAAGTAGACAAAGTTAGGGAGAGAGTATCTTGTAGGGGTAAACATTTGCTTTTAGGCTGGTTAGTCTGAGGAAAGAGTGGTGTAGAAAGTGAAGATGTCCTATGGTCAGAAATATGAGACTATAGTGCCTGTGAAAGATCAGAGCTCAAGAGATTAAGGAACAACCTGCGAAGAGATGACAGATGACTCTTAATGTGGATGACCTCACTCTGGGAAGGAGTTCCAAATTAGCACAAAGTATTTAGATGAATGGAAGGAGATGTTCAAGAAGAGAGCTGGAGGAGCTAGCAGGGAAAGAAACAGGATCTGGTAAGTGCAGGGGTGAAGTGAGGAGAGAGACTGAAAAAGGAGCAAAGGATCAATGCTGTTGAAGGACTAAGATTAGTCAAGTGGGACAGACAGAGACTACAAAATAGCCAACGTGTGCTAGATGGGTAGGGGTAGGACATAAGAATATGAGAAAAAAGAGCCTTGCATTTTCCTTAAGAAAGATGTGGCAACTGGAGACAAGCAAGGAATTTATGCACAAGAATGGGAAGCAGAGTACAGCACAGATCTGAAGTGCGGTGGTACAAAAGGGAGACTAGGACTGCAGCTGTGAGGGGGAGCCCAGGCAAGTCAGGGCCACTTTGTGTTGTTGCTGTTGGTTTGTTTTTAAGTGAAGAGACACTTGAATGGGAAGAGGAGGGCCTCGTAATAAAGAAACCAGAATGATAAGGTGAGTTTTATGAGATAAGTGCAAGGGGATACATTTAATTTATGGCCTGTAAAATTCTCATGTATTTTCTTGTATTTTGTATTCTGTACTCAGTACTTTCATAATTCCAAAATGCTTCCATACATTATGTCATAAACAAAAGCTTTAGTATTCTTCTATATAGANAAAATGACACCAGGCACAAGGGAAGGGGAAACTGGCCACACTGCAGTATCACAGCCCTGGTGGGAAAAAGACACAGGGAGGAGGAGGGAAACTTTCACATGCAGTACTACTCAGGGTCATTGATTCTTGCTACTCCAGTAACCTTGTAAGTCATAGATTCTAATATATTAAATTGGTCACATAGAAACATCTTTTAAATACCTAAGATATTGGATATTTGAAGTTATACTGAATTCTGCTCTTTTGCACTTGACAGTAATGAAATAAATTATAATGACTTACTGATGCAGAGTACTTATCTTAAAATTAGAAAATAAATTAATCAGAGACCCTAGCCTGCCAAGCTTGGAAAAGTTACGTTTTACCAGGTTTTTCTGACTGACTGGGAAAATGCAATTTCAAAGTAATCAACAATATCAAAAACTGCACCGTTTCCCCTTATTCCAGCTATCAAGAACACACTGACATTTTTCTGGGTCTGAACAAAGTCAAAACCACATGCTGCAGAAAGCAGGAAGACTGCCACACTTTCCATTCTGGCAGCTAATTCATGCAGAGTTCTCCAAGGCAGAAACTAGTACGGGGATGTTTTCCTGAATAGGTTTCTTCTTCTTTTTTCTAGGTATATATTTCTTCTAGAAAAGAAAGTTCTAGAGCAAAGATCATCACTTGTTCTTTAGCCTTTAGCAACAAAAATACTCAACTCCTTTTTCTCTGGTCTTCTATCACCCTTTTTTACTCCAAAGGAATCAGAAAACTGGTATCAGGCTGAAGGTATAAAGCAGTCTACTATCTACGGAAAAAGTGAGCCTGAGATAGATACTCTGTCAAATATTTTGCTAAGAATCCATTAGGAATGCTACTTGGGAAGGAAATGTAAGCTGTTTCTTTAAGATACGGCATTTTTCTTAGGAGTCCTTCAAAATTAATTTATGGGATTAGGAGTTTTACCAAAGAAATATTCCCAAATGTAGAAAATGATATGTATTTTTTTATTGGCTGAATTAAAGTTCCTTTTAGTATTATTAAAGATTCAAGTTAACAAGCACATATATAATGAAAGCAACTGGGTGGAGGAATGACGAGGGTGATTATTTCCGGAAGGGTCAGTCTCTCTGATTCTTCCCTCCCTCGCCAGACAGGGAACAAAAGTTAACTTCAGTCTCAGCGCTTGGAATAAGAAGAATGGAGGAAAAGAGCTGACAGTTATAACTTGTGGGTATTACAACATTTTCTACATTTCTGAACAAACTAGGATAGGCGTTTTACAAAAGAGAACTGGGGAAGAAATTCTGGAATCCAAGTTTTCAACACTAGTTGTTCACTGTGTAAATACTGAGAACGTCTCTTTGGTTTTTATCAAAGCTCTGTGAACTGGAATTGGTGCTTTTCTACAGTAAAGTGGAACAAACTGAGGCCATAATTTACTTGGGGCTGGGTCACAAGTATCTGAACGGAAAACAAAACAAACAAAAAAAGCGGTAAAAGAAATCCCGCTAACTGACGCACTATCAAACAGGATTTAGAAGCACAGGTGCGACTGCTGATGTTTTTTACCCACCTCCATTAATGGTCACTTCGCCAAGGCAGTTGTTGGGTACTTTCGGTGCACAGCGTTTATGGCAGTTGAATCTGCAATCTAATCACAATGTTTTTAAAAGAAAACAAAATTTGAAAAAACAAACAAGAATTCATCCGCAAGAGAGTTGTGACATAAATAGCAATTGCAAGTGGATTAATTTAAGGGTCAAAGTTTGGCCGGTGACAACTACTTGGCAGCAAGGTCATCCTTACCTTTGCACTGCAGGCCCTGCCTGAAAAGCCCCTTGAGAAGCTTCTTGCAGTACTGGCACACGGTGGGCCGCGTGTAGGAGTGGATGACGAACGTGTGCGGCACTTTCACTTTCGACATCAAAATCTTGTCGAGCTGAATTGGTCGTCCAATGTATGACTGAGAATTCGACCTCTTCTCTCGACCAATAAATGACTCTGATGGTGACTTTTGCTGTATGTTTGAAAAACAATAAAGAACAATTGAGATGTAAGAGACTACTTGATTAGTGTATTTACTTATTTATAAATCACGTTTTAGTTACCATTGTGTTTAGTGGTTTGGTCCTTAAGAATATGAGAGATATAAACTAAAATTATGTTTCTGTTCATTGATATAATTTATTGCCCCTTTATTTCTTGTTTGAGTTAGCTTGTTTTTATAGTCGGAAATGAAGAAAAGTGGAGAGCAGAATAATTGAACCAGATTTCTAGGACTTTCAAGTAATTTTTGGTTTTTAAAATGTAATTGAATTATTTCAGTACCAAAATATAAAGCTGAAAACAAAGAAAAGTGGTCTTTAATCCCACTGCACATATGACTTCATCGACATTTTTCTAAAAGTATCACATGCACATGGTTTTCTAGTGGTTACTTTGCAAGTGGTTCAGGAAAATAGAAAATGAAATGTAAATCTCTACCCCCCCCATCTTCCCTAAGTAGTACTTTATCTCTTTATCTGAAAAATGCCTAGTTTCTTTGGATTCTTTCAGAGAGAGGAAAAAAAAATTTTAAATGATTCTTCAGCCATATAAAAATAAAAGGTAAAATTTGTACTATCATTTTTATAATTGGAAAACAGCAACTAATGGATTAGACAAAACACACCAATATTGGTGTTTTGGTCATAATTATATCTCTGCACGTTTGTCTCTGTTATTTATTTATTTTAAATAGTTTCAGCTATACAACACAGTGCAATA